GGGGGGGAGGTGGGGGTTACATCCACGGAGAAGAAGGAGGAGGGGTAAGGGGATGGGGGGTTCCCGGGTGGGTGGGGGATGGGGTAAGGGGACAACATATGAAATGTAAATAAAATATCCAATAAAAAAAAAAAGAAAAAAAAATAGGAAAAAAAATGAAAAGATCCCCAGTTAGAGGTGTAGCTGATTACAACTGATGCATAAAGTCAGTGGAGACTGCTTTCCGGAGTCACTCTCTGAAGACTCAGTGTGCCATAGTTCTTAACCGAAAATGCTGTAGACTCTGGTGCAAGACCCCAGGAAGTAGATCTATAGTGGGGCAGATTGATGATATCTAAAGATGAGCCAAGTTAGCAAGTGAAAGATATGAAACTCAAAATAAGTTTGCCAAATAAAATATCAAAGCATATGAAGAAAATGCTATAAAATAAGTCAATATCGTATACACATGAGAATTTACTCCTTAGGCAATGAAAAGTAAAAGATAAATTATTCTAAAAAGTTTTCAAATAAATGAGTTTAAGGTTCTGAAGGGAAGTTATGAGGTAAAGTTAACTTAATTTCAAACATTTATAGATATGTCAGTGAAATTTTGGAAAACTACAATTACTGAAATAAATGACACATTGGAAGGAGATTAGTGAAAGACCTTATGAACTGGAGGGTGCTCTGAGGAGGATTTAGAGTAAGAGAGGACTGAAGACATGGTGGGTGTGAAGAAAACCTGAGATGGAGTTTCTAGTACATGTCTTCTCAGGCTTCCAAAAGAGAAAATAAATGATGCATAGAGATTGGTTTTCTCTTGGGTGTTCTCGGGGCCTTAGAACATAAACTGTAGCTGAGCAGCTTAAATAAAAGTAGACTTATACTTAGATCTGTCTCTCTTAGATCTGTCTTCAGAACATCAGGGTAAAAGAAAATGTTGGAACTTACCAAAAGTGACACCAGAGGATTGCAGGTTACTAGCAGTCTTTCTATTCACAAAAAGTCACTGGAGCAGTATCTAAGAGCTATAAGGCCAGCAAACCCACAGACCTCTTCTGCTGAGGTGCTCTGTGTAGCCAGGTGGTTATTCCATTACAGAAATGGATTAAAGTCGGTTTCAGATATACAAAGATTAAGTGTTAACCTTCGTTTTAGTCTGTCTTGTGCTACTGTAACAAATTTCCACAAAATTAATAATTTAAAATCAATAGCCATTTATATGGTTTATAGTTCTGGAGGCTGAGAAATCTTAAGATGCTGAGCTCCATCTGGTGAGAATGTTTTTGCCTTCTCAGCCTGGCAGAAAGTATCATGCCAATATCATAGGAATAGTGTCCTCCAAAAGAAGATCAGCTAGGTTGGTAAGATGACTCAGTGGGTAAGAGTGCCTGCTAACAAGCGTGATGATTTACTTTGATCTTGGGAACCCACATAACAGAAGGAGAAAGCTGACTTCCACCAGTTGTCCTCTGCTCCAGCACTTGTGCTGTGGCATGTGTGCACGTGAGTGCATACACATGGACTCTTCCTTTAACTGCCATGAGCTTCTCAGATGAGGGTGGTGCTTTGGGACTTTCTTCTCCCTCCATGCTGGCTTTTTACTAGAGAATCCTGCCTCTTGCTAAGGGCAGAAATTTATTTGATGAATTCAAGTATGGTATAAGCTGAAAAGAATATCTAAAAATTCATATTGAAAGATTGTTTTGTAAAAAAATGAATGCTACAAGCCTTTTACTTGCCTTTTTAATGGTTCATTTATTTCATTAGAATACTGCAATAGAATGTAAAATAACATCCACAACTGGAGAGAAACATTTTGATAAAAGTCCTACAAAAACAAGGCACCCACGGAAAATTGACCTAAGAGCTCGTTACTGGGCATTTCTTTTTGACAATCTTCGCCGGGCAGTAGATGAAATCTATGTGACTTGTGAATCAGATCAGAGTGTGGTGGAATGTAAGGTAAGGTGTGCTTTGCAGTTTGTCATTCATCTAAAGTCATGTGCTTTAAAGGGTGTCCTATATTGACTTGTTTACTTCGTTTTTTGAGTTTTAGTTATATAATTTTTATTTTGTTACCTATAATGAAAATTGTTCTTTTAACTCCTGTGTCAAGATTGACGTATGCTTTCTTGATTTTTAGTTTTTTAAAGTTTTAATTTTTTTTATTTGATTTAATATATGTCTTCTCATTTTCTATGAAAGATTTAGTGGAAACTGTCTTGACTCATAGTCCTAGGGAAGAAATCAGAGGCTATATGCATGCACATGCACATGCACACATGCACTGGTGCAAACACAGGATTTCAAAAGTTCTATCTAGGTTTTCTTTGGCTACTGTTGGTAGTTAGAGATTTTCATAATCTTTGATTTTATGTTTCATGCTTTAGTTGGGAATTGCTCCCTTTCTGCTGAAATAATTAGGATGCTCTTACTTTATTCTTGTTAGCAAAAGAAGTTGATTGCTAACCATAAACAATCTTGGGTGGGATTGGGATATCACTGAAAGTTGTGTTTTCTGATTTTTAGATAACCTTGTGTTTGTAAGATCTTTAAACAGTCTTGTCTTGGAAACTCACTGAACAGCCTGGTCTTTTAGTAAATACAAGCTATATACTGTTATGTTTTAGTTAGTAAAATCTTAAAGTCAATAGTACATTTTCATAGACTTTATTAAAGAGGTAACAGAATTTACATATTTTTATTGGATATTTCCTTTATTTAAATTTCAAGTGTTATCCCTTTTCTCAGTTCCCTCCACCCAGAAGCTCCCTATCCCATCTTCCCTCCCCTGCTTCTATGAAGCTGTTCCCACACCCACCCATCCACTCCCACCTCCCCGCCCTATAACTCCCCTACACTGAGGCATCAAGTCTTCACAGGACCAAGGGCCTCTCCTTCTATGGATGTCCAATAAGGCCATTCTCTGCTACATATGCAGCTGGATCCATGGTTCTCTCCATGTGTACTCTTTGGTTGGTGGTTTAGTCCCGGGGAGCTCTTGGGGGTCTGGTTGGTTGATATTGTTCTTCCTATGTGGTTGCAAACCCTTTCAGCATCCTCAGTCCTTCCTCTAACGCCTCCATTGGGAACCCCATTGGGTACCCAATGCTGAATCCAATGGTTGGCTGCAGGCTTCCGATGTATTTGTCAGGCTCTGGCAGAATTTCTCAGGAGATAGCTATATCAGACTCCTGTCAGCATGAACTTCTTGACATCCACAATAGTGTCTAGATTTGGCTACTGTATGTGGGATGGATACTCAGCTGGGGCAATCTTTGGATGGTCTTTCCTTCAGTCTCTGCTCCGCACTTTGTCTCCATATTTGCCCCTGTGAGTATTCCCACCCCCCTTTTTATTGGATATTTGTTTCATTTACATTTCAGATGCTATTCCCTTTCCCCATTTCCTCTCCCAAGAAAACCCCTATCCCATCCACCTCCTCCTTTTTGCTTTTATATCATTTTAATTACTTCCAAGTATTAAGGTCAGTTGTAGGTTGGGGAACTAGCAATACAATAGATGCAACTAGTCAAGGAACAAGCAAGATAATAAACCCAGATAGTCAAAGAACATACAGGACAATAAACAGAATCCCGTAATCACCCCTGTGATCACTGTTTCTAAGGGCTTATCAGGATGACCAAAATATCTGAGCCTACTTCCTTGTCCTAGCCCAAAGTCATTTTCATGTCTGAAGCCTACTTCCTTGTTCTAGCCTAAAATTTAGATTCCTGTCTGAAATGACTTCTTTGTTCTAGCCTAAGATTTAGATTCCTACCTGAAATTACTTCTTTGTTCTAACCTAATGTGAGATTCCTGCCTGAAGCCCACTTCCTTGTCCTTGGCCAATGTCATATTCCTGCCAAGGATTCCATTTCTTTGTCCTTGGCCCATGTCAGATTCTTGCCAAGCAGCCCCAAAGGCTCTCCGAGTCTCCCCCTTTTTTATTTCATTAACAAGCCTGAGCCTGACTTAGGTCGTTTTGACAAGAATGCTTTTCTTACCCGCCATGGAATATGCATTATCCAAAGCAATGCACTTCTGTAGGAATCTAAAATTAAGGCTAGAATAAAGAAGTAATTGCAGGAAGGAACCTAAATCTAAGGCTAGAACTAAGAAGTAATTTCAGGCAGGAATCTAAATATTTGGCTAGAACAAGGAAGTAGGCTTCAGACATGAAAATGACTTTGAGCTAGGACAGGGAAGTAGGCTCAGATATTTTGGTCATCCTGACAAGCCCTTAGAAACAGTGATCATGGAAGTTTTCATGTAATTATGTTTATTGCCTTGCTTGTTCTTTGACTATTTATGTTTATTGTATTGCTTGTTCCTCGACTACTTGCATCTATTGTATTGCTAGATCCTCAATCTAAAACTGACTTTATTACATGCATGTAATTAAAATGGTATAAAAGCAAATGGGAGGAGGGGGATGGGATAGGGAGTTCTAGGGAAGGGAAATGGGGAAATGGGATGACATCTGAAATATAAATAAATAAAAAAATCCAATAAAAAAAGAAGACAAAGGCACCTAAAAATTAGCCATTCTGACTGGGATAAGATGAAATCTCAATGTAGTTTTAATTTGTATTTTCCTGATAGCAAAGGAGCTTGAATATTTAAAAAAATATTTCTCAGCCATTTATATTTCATTTTTTTGAGAACTCTTTTCAGATGTATGCCTCATCTGTTAATGTTTTGTCTTCTGATTCTTATTTACTTATTTTTTAATTCTTTGAATATTCTAGATACTAACTCTCCATCAGATATTTAACTAGTAAAGATTTTTTTCCCCTATCTTCCTTTTTACTTGAATGGTAGTGTTCTTTTGTGCTGCCTAGTTTAATGTCAACTTTATACAAGCTAGAGTCATCAGAAAGGAGGGTGCCTCAGTTGAGAAAAAGCCTCCATGAGAACAGGCTGAAGGCAAGCCTGTAAAGCATTTTCTTAATTAGTAACTGATGTGGATGGGCCCAGCTGCTTTTGAGTAGGGCCACCCTCGGCTGGTAGTCCTGGGTTCTATAAGAAAGAAGGCTGAGCAAGCCATGAGGAGCAAGCCAGTGAACATCACTCTTCCATGGCCTTTGCATCAGCTCCTGCCTCCAGGTTCCTGCCAGGTATGAGTTTCTTCTCTTACTACTTTTATGATGAACTGTTATATGTAACTGAGCAAAATAAACCTTGTCTGACCCAATTTGCTTTCAGTCATAGTGTTTCATTACTGCAATAATAACTCTAAGTCACCTTTTGCTATACAAAAGCTTTAGTTTTGCTAGGCATGGTGGTACATGCCTTTAATTCCAGCACTCAGGATGCAGAGGCAGGGGGATCTTTGTGAGTTCAAGGCCAGCATGGTCTACAAATGGCATCTGTTACACAGTAAACACTGTTTTGAAACACCAAACCAACCAACCAACCAACCAACCAACCAACCAACCAACCAACCAAGTGAACAGACAAACAAAACATTTTAGTTTTATGGGTTCCCGTTGGTTAATTCTTGGTCTTAATGCCTGTGCTAAGTTTAAGCATATTCCCTATTTTCTCTTTTTACTACATTCAGGGCAGCTAGTTTCATGTTTAGGTCCTTGATCTATTTGGGGTTGAATTCTGTACAGGGTGAGAGAAAGGAATTATTTCATTCCTGTACATCTAGGTTTCAAGCTTAATAAGCAGATTTTGTTGAAAATGCTGTCCTTTTCCCCCAATATGTATTCCTTTCTTTATAAAAAAAAATCAGGCCACTGAGTGTGTTGGTTAATATTTATGCTTTCATTTCTAGTCCATTGATCAACATGTCTGCTTTATGTCAGTACCATGCTCAAGTTGTTTTCTTGTTGTTGCTGCTGTTGTTAATACAGTTCTGAAGTTAATATATAGGATGGTGATATCTCCAGTGGATTTTTATTGTTTTGATTATCTTGGCTCTCATGGGTCATTTGTGTTTCCATATGAAGTTTCAATTTTTGAAGAATTGTGTTGGAATTTTGATGGGCATTGTGCTCATAGGTTTTTGATTTGTCATTTTCACTGTTTAATTCTACCAGTCTATAAGTATGGGGATCTCTTTAAATCTTTTTTGCCTTCATTAAAAAATAACTATCTGAAGTTCTCATTGTATAAGTCTTCCACTTTCTTTGTTAAACTTGTTTCAATGTATTTTATTATTATTTTGAGTGATGGTGTTTCCCTGACTTCTTTCTTAATATTCTTGTCATTTATATATAGGAAGACTACACATTTTTATGTGTTAATCTTGCATCTGGTTACATTGCTGAATGCAATAGTGGAAAAATTCGAGATATTAAAATGGAATTTAATAAAGAGACAGAATATCAAAAATGAAATAAACAGAAACATTTAATAAAGAGAAAGAAAGCAAAAAAAGTGAGATGAAAATTTTAGCAATTCAACGAAAAATTCAGAGAAAAGTCTTACTAACATATTGTATCCAGTGGAAGAGAGAAAAACAAATCATAAAGACAAAGGAGAAAAATTGGATTAATCAAAGAAAACCTCAAATCCAAAAGAATTCAGAAATAGAACAGGAATGAATTCTAGGACACTATCAAAAACCCAAGAAAACCTCAAATCCAAAAGAATTCAGACATAGAACATGAATTAACATATAAATCAATAATAGATTTTGGAGACCAAGAGACCCAGGTCAAAGGTAAAGAAAATATTTCAACAAAATCATTTAATAACATGTCCCTTAATCTAAGAGATGCCTGTCAAGGTTCAAGAGTTACAGAGAACACCAAAGAGATGGGACCCGAAAAAGCAAACAAACAAAAACTGCACATCATATAGTAGCTAAAACACTAATATGAAGCACATTAGAAAGTATACTAAATACTGAAAGAGAGAAAGATGAGTTCACTTTCAAAGACTGATATAAACGCTGCTTTTTCTCTCCCCGACAGGATATTTTTATTAATTACTTGGGAATTACATTC